TGGAGGGCAAATTGAGGCCTTCGGGTTGGGTTGGGGTGGTTTGGTGGGTGGTGATTTTCTCGCCCGCACCATGCACTCTGCGCTGGCTCCGTGAGCAGTGTATAGAAGCCTGGCAGACCGGCGAAGACTGTGTACATGTTCCTTGCCGACTCGACGAGGCGCCCGAGTCTGGAGCACATCACGTGTGAAGGGGCCCTGGGACACCCAAAAGATACACGCAATTACAAAGGACTCCCCATACTTTCCCATACATGTTCTGGGTTCTTGTCTTCCCCCCCACTTCCCATATTTCCCTCATTTTCCGGGGGAGTCGACGATGTTCATTGTGTCTGTGTGTTTGTCTTTTCCCCTCCTGGATGTGGTGGTGCTGGCCAACACTTGGCTAGTCTGGAGACCTCGTGCCCCCGAACCGGAAAAACCATCTCGAGCTTCGGCCCCCTGCGCGCCCCAAACCCCCTCCTCGTTCTTAGCTGTTCCTGGCCATCGCTCGGATGTCCATTCCCTGTGTTTTTTTTTTGTTGGTTTCGTGCGTGGTTTTTTCGCCAAATGATCAAGGATGCTCCTCGATGGCCCTCGCCGAAGGAACACATGCACACGTCCGAGCGATGCCGAGGTCCGTCTGTTTTTTTTTGTTTGCGAAAGAGTGATCAGAGATGGATGGATGGCTCTTTCCCGTTGCTTCACTGCAGCAAGAACCCTGCCGCAAGAACTTCCCACAACGAAAGCATCCGCGCCCGCGCCCTCGAGGCCACGCGCCCCTCATAAACAGCGAGCGCGCGCCCCGGAGGCTACGACCTCGTCTCGGGCCGGGCGAAGACGGGGGAATAGCAAAGAGGGGGTGTGAGCATCGGCTCACGTGGCTGATTTTCCCGGCGCCTCCCGGCGCCTGGAGGCGCCCACGTATCGAGGAATGGGCCCCTCGGTGGGGCCGAAACCAACTGCATGCAGCAGATTTCATAACCTCCCCTTTCCCAATGCCCCCCCCCTTTCGTCCGGCCCGATCGTCTACCCCCGCTTCCCGCACCTCGGGATACGCCTCCCCCACCCTGCGAGCCCCCAGAGATGAAGGGAACGCACAAAGAAATACACACAAATGAAAAGGCTTCCCCATATTTTCTAATATTTTCTGGCTTTTTGTCTCCCCCCCCACTTCCTATATTTTGGACGCCCGAAATGGGTACGGAAAAAATGGGTACAATGCCCAACAACAAATGTTGTCCCAAACCAACAGCGGCCTCTATCAAATGGACACAGACCGCGGTGGCGCGGACTGCGAGTCCGGTTCAAAATGAAAAGGAAATGCTGTTGGGCATTGTACCCACTCTTTCCGTGCCCATTTCGTTCGTGCAGATATATGTTCCCATATTTTCCTGGGAATAGACGATTATCATCATACGGCAGGTTCGTGTCGTGCCGACCCCAGCCTTGGTTTTTGACACCGCAGAGATCGTTCAACCTTGAACGATCGGCCGTCTCCGCAACGTCCAATCGTTCCGCATCGATCGATTCTGGGTCGCCGGCGGCGTTCAACCTTGAACGCCCGCGCTGGGGTCGCCGCTGGTCGACACGACGCAAACCTACCGTACCTACCGGTGTGATCTCGCACTGCTTTATTTCGAACGACCGTGTGCCCATAATGCGGTCGTGCTGGTGGTTGTGCTGGCGGCCGTGCTGGTGGTCGTGGTTGGTGGACGTGCTGGTGGTCGTGCTGGTGGTCGTGCTGCTGGCCGTTCTGGTGGAGGTGCTGGCAGTCGTGCTGGTGGTCGTGCTGGTACTTGTGCTGGTGGTCGTGCTGGGAAGTGCTGGTGGTCGAGCTGGTGGTCGTGCTGCTGGCTGGTCGTGCTGGTGGTCGTGCTGGTGGTCGTGCTGGTGGTCGTGCTGGGCTGGTGGTCGTGCTGGTGGTCGTGCTGGCGGTTGTGCTGGTGGTCGTGCTGGTGGCTGGTCGCGTTGGTGGTTGTGCTGGTGATCGTGCTGGCGGTCGTGTTGGTGGCCGTTCTGGTGGAGGTGCTGGTGATCGTGCTGGTGGTCGTGCTGGTGGTCGTGCTGGTGGTTGTGCTGGTGGTCGTGCTGGTGGCTGGCCGTGCTGGAGGTGCTGGTGGTCGTGTTGGTGGTCGTGCTTGGTCGTGCTGGTGGCTGGCCGTGCTGGAGGTGCTGGTGGCTGGTCGTGCTGGTGGTCGTGCTGGTGGTCGTGCTGGTGGTCGTGCTGGTGCTTGTGCTGGTGGTCGTGCTGGCGGTCGTGTTGGTGGCCGTTCTGGTGGAGGTGCTGGTGGTCGTGCTGGTGATCGTGCTGGTGGTCGTGCTGGTGGTTGTGCTGGTGGTCGTGCTGGTGGCTGGGCGTGCCGGTGCTTGTGCTGGTGGTCGTGCTGGCGGTCGTGTTGGTGGCCGTTCTGGTGGAGGTGCTGGTGCGTGCTGGTGGTCGTGCTGGTGGTTCTGCTGGTGGTCGTGCTGGTGGCTGGCCGTGCTGGAGGTGCTGGTGGTCGTGTTGGTGGTCGTGCTGGTGGTCGTGCTCGCGGTCGTGTTGCTGGCCGTTCTGGTGGAGGTGCTGGTGGTCGTGCTGGTGGTCGTGCTGGCCCCTCCCCCTCCCCCCCTGCGCCCCCCTCCCCTTATTCCGACCGACCGTGGGCCACCCCCCCCGCTTCTCCCTTGCGCCCCCTTCCCATTATTCCGACCGACCGTGGGCCACCCCCCCCGCTCCCTCCCTGCGCCCCCCTCCCCTTATTCCGACCGACCGTGGGCCACCCCCTCCGCTCCCCCCTTGCGCCCCCCTCCGCTTATTCCGACCGACCGTGGGCCCCCCCCCGCTCCCCCCTTGCGCCCCCGTCCCCTTCTTCCGCCCGACCGTGGGCCACTCCCCCCGCTCCTCTTCTGCGCCCCTCTCCCCTTATTCTGACCGACCGTGGCCCCCCCACCGCTCCCCCCCTGCGCCCCCGTCCCCTTATTCCGACCGACCGTGGGCCACCCCCCCCGCTCCTCCCCTGCGCCCCCCTCCCCTTATTCCGACCGACCGTGGGCCCCCCCCGCCTTCCCCTGCGCCCCCTCCCCTTATTCCGACCGACCGTGGGCCCCCCCCCCGCTCCTCCCTTGCGCCCCCGTCCCCTTATTCCGACCGACCGTGGGCCACCCCCCCCGCTCCTCCCCTGCGCCCCCCTCCTCTTATTCCGACCGACCGTGGGCCACCCCCCCGTTCCCCCCTTGCGCCCCCCTCTTCGGGCCCTCCTAGACGACCTCTTGAAGGCCTCTTGGGCTGTCTTGGAGGCTTCTTTGGAGCCTCTTGGACCGTCTTGGGCCTCTGGGACCCTTCCGAGGCGACCCCGGCGGACAGGCCAGGCGGCCGGGGAGCTCGCCGCCGCCCGCCGCTCGGTGAGCGAGCCTCGGGCCCGAGGCGAGGATGAGTTGCCTGGGCCAGCCTCGGGTCGGAGGCGAGGACGGCGAGGCGGAGGAGGAAGCGGAGGGGGAGGGGGAGAAGGCGGAGGTGGAGGGGGAGGAGGAGGACGAGAAGGAGGAGGACGAGGACGCAGCGTGCCCGGCCGCGTGCCGACGGCGAGGGCGACTCCGCCGCCACGCGCCGCACCGCCCCAGAAGGTGGAGAGAGGGGGAGGACAAGGAGGAGGTCGAGAACCAGGAGGAGGAAGAGAGGCGGGACAGGAGAAAGTGGAGGTGAGGAGGGGGAGAAGGAGGACGAGACAGAGGACAAGCGACCTTCCTCCATACCCAAACTGACATGCTTCTAGCCGCCCCTTCCCGTCTTCGAATCTGTCCCTTGCCAACGTGTCGCAGCAATTGCGGAGCGCTTCCCGACGCCTGCCAAGGACTGCCTCCCTCGCGATCCCTGGTTTTCTCCATCTCCCATGGACCCACATCGTCATTGTATGATCCTTGGCACGCGTGCCCCTTGTTTCCCCCCCCTGAAGAGAAAGAATTGAGCAGGGACCGACCGTCCCGGCCTTCATATGGTCCTACCAAGAAATGTTCTTAGAACCAGAAATGCCCTAATAACAAAAACAATGTTCTTGGCACATGAACCCGATGTGATAAAACAAAACAGACTCCACCAAAACTGTGCTGAGAACATTGCGTGGAAACCACAACAGGTTCTTAGAACATTGTTTGGTAGGGCTATGGGCGAGCCAGGACGCTTCGCCACTGCCTTGAATTACAAGCGGCGCCGCGGCCAAACGGGTAAGGCCGAGCGACCAGTCGATCGACATTTTTTTTGAGCAACTGCAGCTCTAGAGACCTCCGCGCTGCAGCCTGCTTCGCTCTCCGCTGCATCGCCTTCGCGCGCGCGGAAGCGAGTGGCATTAGGTCGGGCCTGTCCCCCTACAGAGGGATTTTCGACGAAAAGTGAACATACACCAGAAATACACCAAAAAGGTAAACAAAAACACTCAAAAAATAGTCCCCATACTATTTTTGGACTACTTTTGGACTGCTTGAGAGAACGCCCCCAGGGCGAAGCGCGAAGTTGCCCCACTGTATTGCGCGAAGCGCGAAGTGCGAAAAACTTCGCGCTCTCGCGCCGCCTCCCAGGGGAGAAGAGGAGAATGAGGAGGAATGGGAGCCGAACCGCGAAGCGCGAATATTTGGACGCCCAAAGTGGGTACGGAAAGAATGAGCACAATGCCCAACAACAAATGTTGTCCCAAACCAACAGCGGCCGCTGTTGGGCAGGCGGCCTTCTGTCTCGGATGGACACAGGCCGCGGCGGCGCGAACAGCGAGCCCTGTTCAGAATGAGCCGGATCCGCTGTTGGGCAGTATTGTACCCCTTCTTTCCGTACCCATTTCGTTCGTGCCGAAAGGATTGGCGAGGACGAGGTGGAGTAGGAGGAGGAGGGGGAGGAGGAGGAGCAGGAGGAGGAGGAGGAGGGGGAGGAAGAGGAGGAGGAGGATGAGCAGGAGCAGGAGGAGGATTACCGAGGGGATTACCTTCGCGCCCCCGATGGGCGCCCCTGTTCTCCCCCCCGGCAGGGAGACCGCCCCCGCGCGCCGCGGGGGCGCCTGCGCCTGCGGCCCGCCGCCCAGCTCCGGCGCGGGGCCGTCGCCGCCCTCCTCGCGCGCGGGGGCGCCCGCGCCCCGCCGCCGGAGGCCGCCGCCGCCGCCGCCCTCGGCGGAGGCCTGAGGTGGGGCCTCTCGGACTACAGTCGGGGCGTTGACCTAAGGAACCCTACATAAGGAACGAGGCCCCTTTTTCCACAAGTTCCACTTCGATGTCCTGTCGAAGCCCTAACGAAAACCCAAGACAAGCTGCGAAACACGTAAGGAACGCGGAGCCCCTCCCCAACGAAAAGGGTTCCTTCTTCAAGACCCCACTTAAAAACCATGAAGTAGGAAGGCGGATCAAGTTGATGGGGTCCACGCCATGAGCTCCCCCCCCCCTAGTCATCACCCCCCTCTTCGCCGCCCCCGAACGGCGTCCGTGGAGTGGCCCCCCCGCTCTCCCCCTCCCCCTTCCTCGGTGGCCTCGGGTGTAGCAGAACGCGTCGGTTGCCTCTCCCCCTGCCCCCCCCCCTCGCTGGACGGGGCGCCCTCCGCGTAGTCTTCGCGCCGCGCGGCGCGAAGCGGGCACGGGGACGTACACGTCGGTCGGAAGAAGTAGGTAAAAACAGAAGTAGGAAGGCGGATTGAGTTGATTGGGTCCAGGCCCCCCCAGGGAACAACAAAGCACAGCAAAAGCGTGCCGATTATTGAGGAAGGAGGGCGCTTGAAATAGATTGGGATCTGGGAATCCAAAAATACATACTTTCAACGACCGGCGTGTACGATGTTCCAACCTACTGTCAAGTCGGGCGTGTCCCCCTACAGGAGGATTTTGGGCGAAACATAGAACATACCTATAACATACCCCCCCCCCCCAATATTCAAAATTGTCCAAAAATCGTCCGCGGACCATTTTTTGATTATTTTTGAATATCCCCCCCTGTAGAGGGACACGCCCGAGTTAAGCCTACTCTGGCCCTGACCACCAGGAAGAAGTTCGAGCCCCCCCCCAAATTGCCGAGACTCGAGGGCTTTCACACGTCGGGCCCTGGATGCACGAGAAGGATGCACGATAAGGATGCAAGGGCCTTGGAAAGCCATGTTGACGCTTCTCGGACGGAGCGCCAGCCCGCCCCAAGGGTACCCCAAGGGGCTGGCCAGCGAAAGCTGTCAGGGATGGACCGAAGGGGCGGCAAGGATGCAAGTTGCTCCCAGCGTAAGAAATCGAACTCCATACACCGACGCTGTTCCCGGCCCTGCATTGAAATTTGCACTGGAGAGCGGATCCTGGTGTATAACTTTACGGGACCCTGGTGTGGGGCGAGGCATCGTGGGGATGCACCGACCCCCAAGTCGCCCATTCATCGCCGACAGGGGCCCGATGGCCCCAACCATGCACAGGAACGTGCGGACTCACGATCGGGGGCCCATCGCCGATCCATCGGCGAGATCCATCGGCGATGTATCAGGTCGATGCATCCCCCCCCCCCCCCCATGCCCGACCCCCCGACCGTTGCCCCCCAGGAGGGTTCACACTGCGCCTCAGTGCCCGGGGCTCTGCCGCTCCGAGCGCGCGCGTTCTCGCTCGCGCCGGCTCGCGACGGGGCGCCCGCCGGGCCGCTCTCGGAGGCGCTCCCGCTCGCGCAGGCTCGCAAGGAGCGCCTGCGCTCGTGCAGGCTCGCGCGGAGCGCCCGTCGGGCCGCTCGGGAGGCGCTCCCGTTCCCGTTCGTTCAGGGGTGGACAGACCTCCTACCCTGACACGTCGAGTAAGGAATTGGCCGTTTTCGGTTCGCGAAAGAGCATCGCGGCCGTCATTTTTGCGGGTCCAGGTCCGTCGGTTTCGGTCCCAGGCCGTTTTCACTAAGGGGAGGTTTACTAAAGGGAGGTTTGTCCACCGCCGATTCGTACAGGCTCGCACGAAGCATTTGTCGAGCACGGGGCGTCGTTTCGAGCGTGCCTTCGCTCGTGCAGGCTCGCACGGAGCGCCTGTCGGGCCGCTCGGGAAGCGCTCCCGTTCGTGCAGGCGCGCAGCGCCTGTCGGGCCGCTCCGGAAGCGCGCTCGCTCGCGCAGGCTCGAGCGCGGCGCCCGTCGGGCAGCCTCGGAAGCGCTTCGTGCGCCGTCGATTATGCTTGCTGCCGCTCGGGCATGCTCAACGCGTTGTGGTTTTCGTCTTGAGAGTGTGGGGTAGAAGCTTTTTTTTGTTTGGGGGGAGAGGGGGGGCGAGGGCCATTCCCTGCGACGTTACTCATCAGCCTGGAACATGTCCCTATCCCTGTGCTGGGCATCGCCTCATCACGTTGCCGATCTTAGGGATTCCCTCAGTTTTTGAGGACGCATCCCTAAGATCGTCATCGCCTTTTGGCGTGTCAATCTTAGGGATAGGGACAAGTTCGAGGCTGGTGAGTTACGCTTCTTCTTGGCGTGGGCCCCCAGAACGCCCCCTTGGCCCTGAAGCGCCTCCGGTCGCAGAAAGCAGCGACGTGCCTCCCGCGCGAGTTCTGATGTGGCTGTCGGGGGCACGGGGCTCCCAGCGACGGCGGCCCCGGGGGCCTCTCGCGGGATGCTCCCTGGCCAGGAGATCGAGGCGGATCCAGCCGTGGTCGGGATTGAGGGCTTAGGGTTTATTTGGGGCTTAGGGCTAAATCGGGCCCGTCCCTCAACAATAGTGAGGGACGGGCCCGTCTCCCCAGCTTCCGGGCGGGAGGAACTGGGGCAAGTCTTATGTCGGGCCTGTCCCCCGTAAAGGGGCATTTTCGACGAACATAAAAAAATACCCTACAAAATGCCCCCCCAAAGGCCAACAAAATACTCCAGACAGAGTCTGGGGACTACTTTTGGACTATCTCTTGGGCTATTTTTGGACTATCTCCTTGTATTTTCCCCATCAGGGCGAGGAGACGGAGGCAGGAAGGACGAGGAGAGCAGGAGGAGGAGGAGGAGGAGGAGGGGGAGGAGGAGCGAGAAGCGAGGAGGAGGAGGAGGAGGAGGAGGAGGAGGAGGAGGAGGAGGAGGAGGAGGAGGAGGAGGCCCGCCTCAGGGCGAGGGCCCCGCGAGGGCCCCGCCGTGGCGGCGGAGGCCCCGCCCCCGGGCGCCGCGCGCCGGCGGCGCGCGGCGCTCTGGCGGCGCGGCGCTCGCGGCGGGCCGCTCCTCGCCCTGGGCCATGGCGTCCTGCAGGCTGGGCCCCTGGGGCGGGCGGGCGGCAGGAGGAGGAGGAGTAGCAGAGGAGGAGGAGAGAGGAGGAGGAGGCAGGAGGAGGCGGAAGAGGAGGAGGAGGAGGGCGGAAGAGCGGAGGAGGAGGAGGAAGAGGAGGAGGAGAGGAGGAGGAGGAGGAGGAGGAGGAGGAAAGAGGAGGAGGAGGAGGAGGAGGGGAGGAGGAGGAGGAGGAGGAGGAGGAGGAGGAGAGGGAGGAGGAGGGGGTTGGGGTTGACGGGGCGGGGTGTCCAAGAGGGGGGGGGTGCAAATCATGGCCGGCGGCATGTGCGCGGCCCAGCGGGAGGGTCAGGGACGTTATGAAACAAGAAGAGGCGCCATGAAATCTGGGGAAATGTCATGGCCCACGCCATGCTATCCACCCCCCCTAATCATCCTCCCCTCTTCGCCGCCCCCGACAGAAGCAGAGGAGGGGGAGGAGGAGGAGGGGGAGGAGGAGGAGGAGGAGGAGGAGGAGAAGGAGGAGGAAGAGGAGGAGGAGGCAAAGAAGAATGGCCCTCGACCCCTGCCTGAGGAGGGCCTTTTTCTGTTCGAGATCGTGTTTCGAGGGCCCCGGGGCCCGAAGCGGGCCCCTAGAGGCTTGGAGGGAATCTGAGGGGTAGCAGCAACAGCGCCACTCGAAAGCTGGGCGAAGGCTGCTAAAACCGTGGCTGCTAAAACGGCCCTCCCAGAAAGAAAAACAACTTCCCGGAGTGAGGCGCGGCACGCGAAACAGTCCACGGGCTTCTTCCCGGAAGGACGAAGACAACTTCCCGGAGGTCGATTTTAGCAGCCACGGATTTAGCAGCCCTTGCCCGGCTTCGGGCAGTAGGAGCTCGACCACAAGAGACCTTCCACAAGAAGCCCAAGCCTGGGACCCCAGGACGTCCATATGGATTCTCGGTGTGGGCACGCCGCGCTCTCCATCGCCAAACCATGGAAGCCCAAGAGACCCAGGGCGGAGGAGGAGGAGGAGGAGGAGGAGGAGGAGGAGGAGGAGGAGGAGGTGGAGGAGGAGGAGGAGGAGGAGGAGGAGGGGAGGAGGAGGGAGGAGGAGGAGGGGAGGAGGAGGGAGGAGGAGGAGGAGGGAGGAGAGGGAGGAGGGAGGAGGGAGGAGGAGGAGGACCAGGGCACCCTGGAGCCAAGCAGGGTGCGTCTTGGCATGGTTTTTTCCACTGCAGGTCCGGGCTCGACCTAACCAGTGCCTTCCGCTTCCGTTGTCGTCTCCGTCTTCCCCCCCCGTGGCCCTTGTTCCGCCTGGAGGAGGAGGAGAAAGAGGAGGAGGAGAGGAGGAGGAGGAGGAGGAGGAGGAGGAGGAGGAGGAGAAAGAGAAAGAGGAGGAGGAGGAGGAGGAGGATGGAGGAGGAGGGACGAGGAAGAGGATGGAGGAGGAGATCTCCCGAGGCCTCTGGAGGCATCTGGAGGCCCAAGAAGGACCAGAAACGTCCAGAAGCTTACGACACCAAAACGAGAACGGCCCACGACATCGCTAAAGCACCGCTCAGGTCGAGCCGCGGATGAGTTCGACGCAGACAAGGCACTGCGTCGTCGGCAACCGCTCCCGTAGGGCCGCCGAAAGAAGGAACGCCAGATAAGGAGCGACGACCCTATTAAGCTCCAGAAGCGCCTACGTGCCCGAGGAGGGCAAGGGGAACAGCAAATGGAGGAACCCCAGGAATACCGAGCCCCTTCCGAGCTCAAATTGTTTCTTGCTCCAGCGGCTTGACTGTACGACGTCCATGGAGTGGCCCCACCGCTCTTCGGGAGCGGCCAAGAAGGGGGTGTCCAAGAGGGGGGGGTGCAAATCATGGCCGGCGGCATGTGCGCGGCCCAGCGGGGGGGTAAGGGACGTAATGAAACAAGAAGAGGCGCCATGAAATCTGGGGAAATGTCATGGCCCACGCCATGCTATCCAACCCCCCTAATCATCCCCCTCCTCTTCGCCGCCCCCGACAGAAGCACCGCCGCCGAGGGTCGCGGATGCAGGAGGAGGGGGAGGAGGAGGAGGAGGAGGAGGAGGAGGAGGAGGAGGAGGAGGAGGAGGAGGAGGAGGAGGAGGAGGAGGAGGAGGAGGAGGAGGAGGAGGAGGTCCCCCCCCCCTAGTCATCACCCCCCTCTTTGCCGCCCCCGAGCGGCGTCCGTGGAGTGGCCCCACCGCTCTCCCCCTCGGGCGTAGCAGGACGCGTCGGTTGCCTCTCCCCCTGCCCCCCCCCCTCGCTGGACGGGGCGACCTCCGCGCAGCCTTCGCGCCCGCGCGGCGCGACGCGGGCGCGGGGACGTGCACGCCGGTCGGAAGCAGCAGGTCAAACCATGAAGTAGGAAGGCGGATGAGGTTGATCGGGTCCAGGCCCCCCCAGGGAATCACAAAACGCAGCAAAAGCGTGCCGATTCTTGCAGTAGGAAGGCGCTTGAGGTAGAGTGGGATCTGGGAATCCCCAAAATACCTACTTTCAGCGACCAGCGTGTGTGGGTGACGCGCTGAGCGACTGCGAGAGAGAGAGAGAGAGAGAGAGGTGAGACACATCTCGGCGCAGGAGGCTGGAGCGGCAGGCAGGGGAGGCACCCTCCAGGACACCTGGACCCAACACCGCGGGGACAGGAGACCCAGCGACTACAGGGCAATTTTCAGTACATGGGATTTTTGAAAATATGAGATTTTTAATACATGATCAATGCATGAATGAATTTACGCATGAACTCATCGTTGTTTTTTAGACTAAATCCCTGCATCTTTAATACATGATCCGCACGCGGAGCATGTATTAAAAACTGCCCTGTAGGCTCCCGCACCCCCCATCGAGGCCCGGGCAGCAGCGTCATCCAGGGCGGGGGAGGGGAAGGAAGGAGTCGATTGACGAGGGTCGGAACAAGGCGTTTTGAGAGACTGGGAGTTTGAGATCGATCCCAAGACACCCATCAACAGGTCCAAACGCACCAATGTTCCGCGCTGCGACCAGCCGTGGCGACGAGGCCCTCCCCCCCCCGAAGGCCAACGAACAGTGTCTCAAACGGCCCTCCTCTGAAAGGGGGGGTGAGGGGACTTGCTCCCCACATCCTAAGTGGGGCTCTTCGTGAATACTTTGGACACCCCGCGCAGGAACAGGAACAGGAACCCACCCACATCATCCTCATCCTCATCCTCATCCTCATCCTCATCCTCATCAGCATCATCAGCAGCATCAGCATGATGATGATCATCATCATCAACATCACCATCATCACCTCCCCACTTCGTCACCCACATACTCACATACTCGCACATTGAAATTCATCATCACCATCATCATCAGCATCTTCATCATCACTCAGTCCCTCACTCACTCACTCACCCACTCATCATCATCACCAGCATCATCAACATCACTCCCACACCCGTTCACACTCACACACAACCACACTCACACAGACGCACATTCGTACATTCATCTTGAGGAAGTCTAAGGAAGGAGCCAGGTCTGTGAGTGAATCGCAAGGGCGTCTCAGGTGGGGGCCCCCTCCTTATGGGGCCCGTACTTCATGTTTGGAATCGGCGCGGGCCATCCAAATCCTGTAACTGTCGTCAATGTTGGACCCCGCACGCCTGAACTTCGAAGACGCCTCGGGCGGGAGCCTCGTTTGTGAGCGAATTGCGAGGAGGTCTCAGGTGGAAGCCCCCTCACCATGGAGCCAACACTTCATGTTGGTAATCCGAGCGGGAGATCAAAATCCTTTGACAATCGTCCCTGTTGGGCCCCGCATGCCTGAATCTTGAAGAAGCCTCCAGCGGGAGCCTCATCTGTGAGTGACTTGCAAGGAAGTTTCAGGCGCGAACCCCCTCCCTATGGAGCCGACACTTCATGTTGGCAATCCGAGCGGGTCGTCCAAATCCTGTAACTGTCATTACTTTTGGGCCCCCCGGGGCCTCAATCTGGAGGAAGTCTCAGGCAGGAACCTCGTCTGTGAGTGAATTGGGGGGGAGTCTCAGGCGGGAGCCCTCTCCCTATGGGGCCCACACTTCATGTTGGCAACCGGAGCGGGTCATCCAATCTTGTAACTGTTGTCGCTGTTGTGCACCTCGCGCCTGAATCTTGAAGAATCCTCGGGCGGGGAGAGGCCTACCCATCCCCATCCCCCCTTCCCCCTGGGTCTGGAGGGGGGGTGAGTCGCGAGCAGTTCGAGCGTCCAAAATGGCCTCGGCGAGGAAGCCAACATCATTGATTCGACGACGGTTTTGGCCACGTGTGGGCCTCCTGGGGGGGCAGCGCGAATGGACTACGGCCCGTCCTTTGATCGATCTCCTCCAAGATGGATGGCTCCAAGATGGCTCCCGAGGCCCCCCAAAGGTGCCCTAAGGCGGCCCCAGGAGGTGCCCAGGAGGCTCCAAGAGGCGTCCAAGATATCACCAATAAGCTCCCAAAAGAGCCACGAGAGGCCGCAAGAGGTCCCCCCCAGGAACCAAAGACGCCCCGAGAGACCCTGGCGAGAAGGCCACAAGTATCGATTGGACTAAGACTTTTGGCACCATGTTGACCTCCTGGGGGAGGGAGGGTACTAATGCCACCAACCCTCTGGGTTTGAGTGGCTTAAAGCGCATCCTCTTCCAACCCCCTTCGGGGAGGGGCTTGTCACTGTTCCCTACTTATATACACACCCTCCCTCAGTCGAGCGGCAGCCAACCAGGAACAATGCCGACCCTATGATTACAGACACCCAGCCATTCCTGCCAAAGAACAATGCAAAACACACTCTGCCTTCAAATTCGGAGCATGCGCAACCAACCCGATGCGGCCCCACCCCAACACTCCGGTTAAACAGTCCCTGCCAAAAAAACAATACAACATGCACCTCGCGGCTAAGTCTGGATCATGCGCGGCCCCCCCGCGATCACTATGTTTTTTTTGATAGGGACGGCGAGGGTGGTGGGGTATGAGCTGCTGAAAGCAGGCCCACCAGACACAATGATGGGCGTTGGCTTTCGGCAAGGATGGAGGGGGCCACCATGTTTCCCGATATGTGC